CACACTTTTAATACAAGTGAGTGTATCAATTTGCATAATGCTAAAGGGATACATATTAAGGGATACTCTGCACTACATAGTGCTTCTACTTTTTGTTTTCTTTTGTGATACCTTTGAAAATAAATGTGAAGATAGAGTTCATTGTGACCTTAAAGGGATACTCTACTTAACAAAACAACTTTAGGTTAATTAAGTAGTTTTATGTATGTATCATTGCTTCAATGCTTTCCTAAGGGGATTTCACTGACACTCCTCATGTCCTCATACACATCAGCGTCATTTAGGGGACTCAGAGTCAGCTGGCATCCGGAAAACTAATTTTAGTGGCTGTCTGGTTGACAACCACTAGAAGCAGTCTTAGTCCTACAAAGTAATTACTGCAGTTTCTAAAATAAATTAGATGAAGTGGTCTGGGTGCCCATAATGTCCCTTTAAATGGACACTATAGTCACCAGAACAACTGCAGCTTATTGTATTTGTTCTGGTGAACAAAACCCTTCCCTTTATGCGTTTTGCAGTAAATAATGTCTTTTCAGAGAAAATGCAGTGTGTAAATTACAGCCCGGGAATACCTCCACTGGCCACTTCTCCAATGGCTGCTAGAGGTGCTTCCTGGGAACCTGCACACAATATTCAATGTCACCTCCCTCTGCATTGATACACTGAAGTTTGATTGATTCAATGCATTTCTAAGAGGAGATGCTGATTGGCCAGGGCTGTGTTTGGCTTGTGCTGGCTTTGCCCCTGATCTGTCTCCTTGACAGTCTCAGTCAATCCTATGTTTTCCTATGTGAAAGCATTGTGATTGGCTCAGAGCACCCCTTGTGATGATGTCAGCCAAGCAGGCAGATCAGGGGGCAGAGCCAGCAGCAGCAGACTGGAATAAAAGTTCGATTTTGCTATATTGAGGAGGGCAAGGGGGCGCCAAGGGGGCTAGATGCGGTCAGCATATTTGTTTTCCTAACCCTATAGTGTTCCTTTAACTCCTAAATGGCAGATAATTTAGCAGTGAGGCAGGAGCATGACCAATACACCAAAAAATACACAGTATTTAAACTAGCTTTCCAAAGATTTAGTAGGACCGCTGTTAATTTTACTCCACTAAATACTGTATTACACTATAAATTTTGTTTTTCCATTGTGTGACAGACCACCCGGTCACTTAGGACTTAAAGGGATACCATGCACCACCTCCATCTAAAAGGACTATAATAACCTAGGTTTTCCCTTCTACCATGTGTCTCCCAGCCCAACACGTCTTTCCAGCAGCCTAGGAGATGTCAGAACCTGGGGAGGGACTCACAGAGGCACAACTCATCCGACTGGGAGCAACCTATGAACGCTCTGGAACTCCTAATTGGATTGTGATATTGCAGCAATCTGGTAAAACTTTGTCGAGGGCGCTCTCGGTCCCAGAGTCACCAAATAGGGTGCAATTTGGAGGATTAATAGAGGAGGTGGTGTGGCATTGAACAACACCAAAGACTTTAGGGTGCCCTTCTGTACAAATGAAAAGCACCATCAGTGAAGGTGACCAGGATTCCCCACTCAGCGTTGTGGAACTCTGTGCCAGATCGGAGGATGCTCACACCTCGTTAAAACTTAGCATCCATACTATTCGGGTTGGACACCTCTGAACCGAGCACTATTTGTACAGAAAGAGCTATGCGGGGTTGGATCTGGTTTGGGGATACAGGCATGGGAACACATGTTTTTATATTAAAATGTGTTTGGTACCAAAGTGTCTAAAATTATCGCGTCAGTTACAGACATCTAAGGGCCAGGTATGTCGCAGGACACATCGCTTCCCTGAGCACCCCAGGTATAAAAAATTGACTTTCAGGCAAGAAAGGCATTCTGATTTTACCTTGACATTAAGCCTCGGCTAATGATTGGGGTAGGGCTATAATCCCTTTCAGAGCTAATCACAAAGTGGGAAAGGGGATGTTGCGGAATGGACATTTGCAAGCTAATTTTATCCCCTATATTGGCTGTCCATATCCCCCCCTTGTTATTTTGTGTGTTTTGCCCGGTTATTTTGTGTGGTTCTTCTTTGGCCGTTCAGGAGACTTCATACGAACGGAATCCATTCGTCTCCTGAACAAGGACCACCCCTATACCCCATTAGAACGTTAACACCAACCACTTAAGTGCGAAACCGCAAGAGAAACAATTAATGAGTGCTTCTCCTGGGTGGTTGCTATTTCGTATAACCGAACATGTGGCTGGGAGAGTGGCGGCCATCTTGTCTCCTGAACGAGGGCAGCGGTACTTGGTTGTTGAGTGCCTGAAACTATTTTCGGCTTGGCACTTGCGCGAACTGTCATCTGCTGCCCGTTTCTGTTCCTAACCAACTACACGAATGGCATTCAGGAGATATAAAGTACCAAACAGGGGGAGCATTCGTATCATGAAAGAAAGAGATTCCCTTTTATGGTTTTCGCACAGGAACCTCACGAACAGAGACCGGCCAGGGCACCTATTCTCCTGGAACTATTTTCGGCTACCTCTTCGTGTCTGGCCGGTCAAATCTCGATGCTGTTCCTGTTCTACCAAACCAATCTGAGTGATTCTTGGATATGTTGGTCACTCAGATCAGGGCTATCAGGGAATGTACATTTTTGGGGTTCCTGTGTATGGTTGGGAGACTTTTGGGGTACAGGATATTTTGGAGGTTTTTTTGTGCTTGAACAATAAATAAATTGGAGGAGTTTACTCAGGCAATTATCTCTCAAGCACAAGGGATCCTGGGATTGAAACCCTTGCATTTTTTGCCTGTAAAACCCCTTGCATGGGAGATGGCATAAAAGCCGTGTATACCCCCGTAGCTGAGTGTCGTCCAGTTGCTGGGGATGAGGTGGGAGATCCCTGGATTATTTTACTGTGTCTGGCTGTTGAATTGTTTTACGTGTTCCAGAGTATATCTTGGATTACCCAGTGGAGGAGAGTCCCTGCTAGGACTAGGGCTCTGCTACAGGGGACCTTGGTGGTGACATCCAAGCTACTCTCGCATAGACTGCCACACTTTGTTTTATGCAGATATTATGTGTGACTGTTTTTTAAATTGAAGGAGTCAAAGTATGCAGTGGTTACCACCCAATTCACTTTTAAAGAGTGCTCCACTTTGACAGATACCTTTTGTTGTTTTTCTAAACACCTTTCTATAAAAAAAAGTAACTTTTTATTTGCCGTTTTTTTGCTTTGCATAAATAAAAAAATAAAAAAACAGGATTATGCCAGTCCCTTATAGTGGCTGCTGAAGGTACCATTGCTCTGCTCCACTTGTAGAGACTAGACAGACTGTACATGGTCAATTGACCATGTACACATGTGCACTGCGGGATTGGGAGAGTTAATTTTCACCGCATGCTGCACGCGCTCGCTCAGCATCGTGAGGTCATCAAATTTGATATGATGCCCTTGTGGTCGGCAGTTATCTCTAGTGTCCTTGCAGTCAGCGCTCCAATTGGAGAGCTTGTCTGCAAGGGCAATTTTGGCTGGCAATTTTCCTTTCCTGCTATGCCTTCTCCCTGCTGCTGGCTGTGGGTATTCTCTCATACTGAATTAGTGAACAAGCCGGTACGGTTCCGGTGGCTGCTCACTGTAAAAACAAACAAAAAACTATTGCCCCCACCCCTGTGCGATGGGTGGGGGACCTACTGTCACATGCTGCACTGGCCAATCACAGTCATGCCATTAGTAGGCATGGCTGTTATGGCTTCTAATGGCACACGTGTCAAATGCTTGTTGATTGGCTGCCCTGCAGCCTTTCAAAATGCGTCATTAAATCGCTGAACACTGAACTCCAACCCGAACATACACGAAAATGTCGGTGTTCGGGTCCGGGGTCCAAAAACCGTAATGTTCGGTACGAACCTGAACTTTGTGGTTCGGGTTCGCTCAAGTCTACTTAAGAGCAATCAATCATCCACCAATATGTTCCAGTTATATTTCACCCTTCACTAAGTCTCGACTAGTGTTTGGGTGATACCATGATTGCCCTTTTGTAAGCGACTATAATCACTGGCTACCAGCTCTAATCACTCTACATCTGGGCACAACTAGGAAGGGGCGACCACAGGCAGTAGTAATCCATCCTCGAGATGGTATACTGCCACAAGGTGAAACAAAGGTTGTTGTTTTTTTGTTTGTGTGTTTTTGTTTTGATTGTGTAATTATCTGGAAATAAATAGTTCCAAGGCTAGTGTGAAACAAAATAAGGCGCAAGCGTAATAAATCAATGGGGAAATGTATGCCATCAATTGGTGGTTTTACATTTCTCCCTGTTAATATTGAGGCTCAGGGGATGGTATGTTTTTTAGTGATGTGTTCATCTTTTGGATGTTGGTCTGGATATCTTTAGTAATGATGTACAAATTTTGACTGATAAGGCCGTGGTCTGGTGGGGTAGGCTGCAGCATTAGTTGAATGCTGCAACGGTTGGGTTTAAGGTTACCTGCCTAAACAAAGGGAGGGTGGACTATATGGTATTGGTTATTGATAAGTTCTGACAATAGGGGCAGAACTATGGTAAGTCATAAATTAAATCTCGGGGTAGTTTTAGAGGCCGTGGATTTTTGGTTACAAGTTATGTTATTTTGAAAGTTAGTAATTAGTTACAAGTTATGTTATGTTGAAAGTGAGTAAAGTTAAAGTTACAATGTGTTTATAAACTAAATAAAAGACCACTGCCTTTTCTTCCACATATCTGTGTCAGTGTGTTTTTTATTACAGTTATATATGTGTGGTTTTGATTGTATAGTGTGATAGATTTAACCCTTGCAGGTCACATGCCTTCTTCTTTTTGGAGATTGTTGCAAATGTACCATTTAAATGTGACAATCACAGTGATCACCCAATAGAATGCTTTTCACCAGAAAGCATTGACAAATGATTCCCTATGTAAGCTCTCACTTCACAATAGTTCAAGAATTATTCGAGGAGGTTTTCACAATTTAATTTAATTAAGTGCAGATTTCTAAATATAAAGATAAGTTGCGGTTAATGGAAAAATATTAGAGGATACGTTGCTGTAGTTCATGATATAGCAGTTCATAATAGGGAAGTTAGGGAGTTAATGCAATGTACTGATACCCTAAATGGCATTGATAAAAAGGCAGGAAAGTGGACATCCATTCACTTTAGGACTTCTTGTCACTCGCAATGACTATACTGTGCTTGTGTGTAGTAGGAGGAGTAAACACCTTGCTTGCTGGTCACTATGGCTGATAGGACTGCAAACTTTGACGTCTCTAGTTGTGTTGGTAGAGGGAGGAGTGTGGACTGCGATGCTGGATTAACCTTTGCATTGCTGAGGGGGTTGGGCAGCCCCAGCACACCTCCAGAATGGAGGCAGGGAAAGCAGTACATCAAAGGAGACATGGGCTGCATACTGTTCTACAGCAACATGCAGGATTCAGCTGCCAATCCCTCTTGACTCGGGAGCAGGGTACACAGGGGGGCACAATTACACACTTGCTATGCATCACCTGCATATTCTTAGTTGGACTTTGAGAAGTCATCCTTGGGCACAGAAACACCAGAATAGAAACACTACTGTGTAATGCATGATCATCACATCTTCTAATATTTTTTCTTCTGTTGTTTTATATTCTATTTGAACTCAGTATTCATTGGTTAAATGCCTAAGACACAGAACTCCTGCAAATATTTATATAATATGAAAATTAATGCTAATAACATAATAGTACCTGTTTCTGTAACTTACACAGACCCGTGCAGAGAGAGAGAGAGAGATAGAGGGTGTGTGTGTGTGTGTGTTTGTGTGTGTCAGAATTGCCATGCCATGTGTTATGCAAAGATTTATGTAATGCTGCTGTAATGTTGCATACTGTACATAAAGCACAATTAAATGCACGTTTTAGATGGATCTGCATATGTTTTATGTGTAGTCCATAAAAAGCTTGCAGAACACTGTATGGAACAGGATATCCAGGGACCATGTTTATAATAGAAGATATTGTAACAGGCTAGAATGCACGTGTACTAATATAGTATATAACAGCACATGGCTGTGTGTGTGTACCGTACAAAGTAGCATATACATCTGACATGCACATCTACAAGCATGTGACTAGAAAGCTTTTATGTTACTTTACGAACTTCCTTCAACTTTGTATATATTGTATGTCATATATGTCATATGTTTATTACTAGACTAAGTAACTGGTAACAATAATTGATATTTTATTGCAGAGCAGCATGAGTGCATTGTACACAAACCTTTGCATGTGTGCAATAATATACCGAGTGTATATTACAAAAGATACTGTGCATACCTCTTTGGCAGACTTGTACACGTGCAAAAACTTCATATGTGGACGTCAAAAAAAAACAAAAACCCTCAAAATACTACAGGCAGATAGATCATTGTGTGTAAAATATTGTACACACACACAAAATAGAACATAGTTAGATATATATATACGTGAAACATTCCGAATAGTTTATGTTATGTGTGAAATGCAAACCTTCCTATCTGCAAATAAATGAGCACACATAATGCATGTGGAACACAGTTAATCTGGAACAGATGAAGGGACTGCTCTCTCTCTCTCTCCCCACAACAAAAGAAACAGTTATATAGGTTTAACAGACAGTAGCAAGCTGCTTCCAAAAGTTACATCTGAATGAAATCCTGCCAGGGTAGTGGAAAGAGTGCATCTTCCAGAACAAGTAGGAGTCCAGTGAGATTTGAAGCTGATCCACTAATATCAGGATTGCTCAGACAGGTTGGGACCAGGGCACTGCACAGGATGACCAGAAGCCAGTCTGGAGCTGTCAAGCTCTCCTGCAATTCCTTCCATTCTCAAACCGCTGCACAAATATAGTTGGAGCCCACTATTTTGGTAGGGTGGGAGAGGGGCTGAACCAACCTGGAGAGAGTTTTTCTTCGGGGAGGGTCTTGGAATTTTGGAATCTGATCACTATTTGCTGGCTGTGGAAGGACTGAAGACTTAGAAGTGGGGTCTTAGCCCAACCCCCTGACGGTGGGACATTAGGAGGAGAGAGGGAGCTTTGCATTTTGATTAAAGCCCTCAAACCTTCTTCAGTCTATTGGCAGGGGACTGGGGAGGCACACATCTCAGCTGGGCAAAAGAGAAGAAAAACCCACCAAACCCCCCCCTCTCCCCCAGCCAGACTTTGGGTTTCTTCCTCCTTATGGCTGTGTAGTGATTCACCTCCTGGACTATTGGAAGGAGTTGGTGCTGTAGATTGAATCCTGAGATTCCTTATCTTCTGGGGGGTTCCCAGTTCTTGGAGTTGGAGATGTGGAGCACAAGGTGGAAAACGAAAAGGAGGTTTTGGGATTCGTCCCTCAGCTCCCTCATTCTCATCACTTTGATTTTCATTATCCATGCTGCAGAGGTCAGAGGAGGTAAGAGAAAAAAAAAATATGAGGGGACAGAAAGGCTCCCCGCTATCCACCCCACCCCCCAAACCTCAGTGTGTCTCAGAAACATCTGTCAAAAAGAAAAGAAATTAGAAAGAAAGGTAAAATAACTGATTAGAATGCCAGTCTGCCACCACCAAACCTCTGCACACAAAATTCACATTTTTGGTGATGTGCAGAGGTAAGATAGACATTCTCAATCCATTTCAGTGAGGGCAGAGAGGTAGACTGTAATCCTTGCATAGTATTCGAAGGAAGACACTTGTTACAAGTTACTGATAATGTATTCTTTTTATGGAGAGATGGATGTCCATCTGGTATTATATTATGTCATATACCCAGCTAAGTGCAGGACCCCCTTCACTAATGCACCTTTCCTTGCCTAACTCTGCAGGACTTAATGTCTAAATTAAATAGTGATGGCAAGGTGCTGGTGTCACCCAGTGTATGCTGGCCTGAGAGGTTGCCCATGTCTGCCTCCTAAAACCCATGGTCCGTTAGGTGTCTGTGGACAGGGTTAGAAGGGTGGAATTCTGTCTTTTTTTTTTTTTGCTTTTTCTAATGATCCTTCTTTACTTGAAATCCCTCCACTCCCCCAGGGGTTGTCATATTCAGACACGTCTGTGAGAGGGGTGGGTCTAGACAAGCAAAGCCCTTCCACCTTCTCTGAGCAGCCCCACTGAAAGCAATTAGTTACTGGAAGCAAAAGGGTAAAGAGTAGTATATTTATCTGATGGAGAAAGAAAACAGCAAGCACTGTACCTTAATTAAAGGGGGAAAACACATCAGGAGTAGCAAATGCTAAACTGCCCAATTGCTTTATATTTACTTAAAAAATTATAATAAAAAAAAAATATATATATATATATTTATTTATGTATGTATTTAATTTTAAACTACATTTATTAGTTAATGGGGTAAATATACTTGTATTTTTTGTTTTTTGTATTCTTTCAGTATGATTTTTCCAAGTGACCTGTTTCAGTGATTGATGTGTACACTCTGATAAACCAGCAGCTTTGGCTGAGCTAAAATGATTTATTCCCCATAAGCCCTGAGGTTAAGTAAGGAGAGTTGAGTCAGCTGATGGCAAGGGGAAGCCTAGAATCAAATCGCATGGAATTCGAACCCCTATTAGTATATATTCATTATAACCATAACGTAAACCTGTGTAAAGAGAAAGCACCATTGATGAGCATGTTTCAATCTGATAAATTCAGAGATACAATCAGACAGCAGCTTTGATATTGGAGTCTGAAGTATCTTGGGAAAGTTTCACATAGAGAAGCAGAGACCTTTGTATTGAAAGGCATCCATCCACTCACTGTATGTCAGGTTCTGCAGTAAATGAACACATCTATAATTTTCAGTTTAATATAGTACTGTCTACTATGGCACTGAGCAGTACTCTGGGTAATACTAAGATACTGTATGTAGTATTAGTGTGCTAGATGTGATATATAATAATGTCCAATGGTATAGTATTGCATGCCAGTTTATTAGGTTGTGTGGTACAGTGACAGATTCTTCAGTAAGGGGTGCTGTATGCTACTCTCTGAATAATGGTAGTAGTGAGAAATCATCATTCTGTGTTGTCCAATAGAGTAAAAAGCTAAAGGTTTGCCTCAATGCAGTTTTAGGGTATTATATGACTGATTCCACTGTGTAGTGTGATGTGTCTAGTGGTGTATAGCACATTCTGTGTTGTAATGCGAGCATGTACCAAACTACGTAGTAATGCATGTTAGAAGCTCTGTACTATTATATGCAAGGCTCTGTAGTAGTGTAGGACACACTCCAGGTAGTATTGTGTGCCAGTACTTAATAACTTAATTTCTGACTAGTAGCATATCCCTTGCTTTGTAGAAAGCATGGTGAGCAGGTTATTATCCCCACAAAGTAAATTGGTTAATAATTAAAATGATATATGCCACACTGTGCTGCTGGACATATAATATTCCTGGCAGCAATGATAATGGTATTTATTAGGGCAACACTTAGGTCCATTGCTCACTGGAGAGATATAGCCATTTTTATTCATTCTGGGCTTTGGCCATGAGCATAGAACCTTGATCTAGATAATGCTTCCCCCACACTATTCAGATAACTAGCAAAAAAGTGCATAACAGTGATTTACCTGATTAACACACCTCACTACAGTGGTAATGATAGTGTGATATTGTGTGTTAGAAGTTCTATTTCAGTTAAACTGCAACATATAATGGGGGACTGGGTTGATTGCTTGCATCCTGCCCTCTTCTGGTTACTCACCAAGCACCAGAAAAGGTGAACTGAGGATTCTTTATACTGCATATAGCAAAGTAAATGTATCTGAAATGAATGCAGGCAGGGCAGGCTAGCAGTGTAACAGGGAGCTTTCTGTGTTGCTCAGGCTCAATGCAAATAGAGGATCCAAACAGGCTCACCATGAAGGCAGCATACTGCATGCTTTGTGTATGTGCCTACTTAAATAAACCATGTGGCTGTTAAGATCTCAGAGGTTCCAGTATGGATGGTAATAGAATTGGGAGATACTTTGTGGAATTTTTGTAGGTGTTATTTTAACTTCAAAACAGATTTATTTGTATTATTATTTTTGTAGATGATGAGAAATCTTTTTAGTTTCTTTCTTCACATATTAATCTTACAATATTGCATATGTTTCTTTAAAATACAGAGTACTTACCTAATGATAGTTTTTTTACTATTGTTATTACAAATGTACTATTAATGTATTTTTTGAGAGTCATAAAGTGCCATTTTAGAGCTGAATTTGTGCCATTTTAGAATACAAATACATAAATTAGTGTTTTTACACTTTTTTTTACACATGTGACAGAAAACACAAAACACAAAAAGGAATGTAGATAATTTCCATATTTCTAGAATGGCAACTGACAACAAGTCCCATCATGCTCAGCCAGCTGATTACTGACCAAGCACACTCTAAGTTGCAGCCCATGGCATCTGAGGCAACATTTATTGCTATACAGAGTCATAGGTATATATAATCTCAC